CAGGAGAGTGAATTTTCGGGATCAGGGGGAATTTAGAGGAATAGTTTTCTCCTATAAAATCAAATCAAAGGCTTCGCTTGAACATCAACAAAAATCTCCCTTCTCTTTAATTGCAAGCGCATCTACTTTAGCTGTGGATCAAATCACCTCTAACAATTAATTTAGCTTTAATTCTGTAATTATCAGCAAATCGACTAATGTGCAACTTAATTTAGATAGTTAAAAATTAACTCGCGTGAAGTTAATTGAGTAATTAAAACCCTCAACTGGCGCCTATTAATTTGCTAATTAAAAATAAATGTGATTTTATGTAATTTAAAGTAATATTGACATCAGTGTTGGATGGGCGGTTTTATTAGTTTGTTTGGAAGGGGTGTTGAATTCGGACACCTGCTGTTAAACTCCGTCACCGGGCTAGACTGTAATGAGTTTAATAAAGAAAATGCCCACCGGATATATCAAACAAAGGATATTGACACCCAAAGATACAGATAGTGATACTCCTGGAGGGATGAATATATTAGCCTGGTCTACACAGGCTAAGTTCATATGGGGGAATATTTGGATTATAGACCAAAGTTTATCCTTCTGCAGCAGCTGCGGGTTCAAGTGTATTCTTTATACTGACACGTAAACTTCACACTCTGATGACAATCAATAACTACGTCATAATGGGAATCCTGACTGGGTGGAGGGGTGCCAGTAATTAAATCTCAATCTGATATTCATTTTACAAAGGTGGGAAAGAAATAATGTTTTCCTATTTTGGCTGTTAATTGTTTAATTGTATTAAATGGGCAATTAACAAACATTAGATAGATAGATAGATAGATAGATAGATAGATAGATCTGTTGGTCACTTAAAAATCAGTAGTAGAGGAGTTCTCTTTATCTGGCTTGCAAGGTTTGCAGACAGCGGGGGTCTTGGCTTTTGTTCTGTTTTAATGTTGAAAACCGCTCAAAGAGACAGCAAATATTATTATTTTACCATTTTGGGTTTGTCTTAATTCATTTAATTTAATTAATTAAAATTATTAGGTCCTGTCAAGTTGATGTTGACTTCTGGCAGCCATATAGATGGCATCCATCCAGAACTTTCTGTCTTCTGTCCAAGTAATCCGGCTTCCCAAATGCACACTCATTGTTTTGGTGAATGAGTCTTAGTGCTGGTCATCCACTTCCTTGTTTACCTCCAGCACTTTCCAAACATTATGGAGTTTCCCAGTGCACTGGGTCTTCTCACAATACATCCAAAATAAGTTTCAATTTGCTTCTCTGTGTATCAAGTGAAAGTTCAGGCTTGATTTGACCAAAATCCACTTGCTTGTTTACTTTGTCCTGAATTGATTCTTAAAAGGCGTCAATGTGCATCCCGTCCTGATTCTTTACTGTTCAGCTTTCATGTCCAATAACTCAAATCACAGGAGAATAACATATCCAGAACAATTCTGATTTTTCTCTTCGTTGTTTTTGAATGTTTTTCATTTTTTCCATCCTTCACAGCTCTGCTAAGTGTCAGTCTGAGAGATATTTCATGATCTTTTTTGCAAAAATTTCCTATAACCTCTCTGAGTTCATCATCAACACTAAAGTTGTCTGCTTTTCCTATGGTCATCAACTTTGCTTTCTTCATGTGTTGCTCTACTCTGTCTCTTCACTCTGACCTTCCTTATTGTTGTCTTCAGATCTTCATAATTTTCCACTGTCTTCAGTGTTTTAGTGATTGTTAATGTATCTTCCACTGATTTGCCACCTTGGATCCGCCCAGTTTCTCCATATTCGGTCCATACCGTAGCTTTTTGTAGATATTCTTCATAAGGACAGTGAGAAGTTCTGGTGGCTTCCTGACAAACATGCAAAGGGACATGGAGATGTTGAAATTTTCTGTGATAGATAATATAAAGGGAAGGCATCGTAAATAAAATGTAAATTAATCTCTAAAGGAAATAAATTTATATTTTAACCTGATTAGATGCATGGCAAATTCTCCTTTGAACTACACCTTAGCTGTGTGTGTAATCTGTGACTGGTCCATTTGCTGGGAAAGCGCACATCGTAAAGCTTATCTGCACACTCATAAGGGTTCATTTGTGGTCTTCACCTGCCATAACATTAATCAGTTTGTATGAATATTGTTTTAAATGAGTGAATAAGCGAGATGCCTATCTCCTTAAAATGGTTAGGGTGGGCCTAGTGTCAGGAGCGTCATACAGTATCTCATGAGGGAGCCCAGTTTACACAGGTATCTGACAGAAGACTGCAAAATTATTTATTAGGTACATGCCAAAGTTCATGGGCTTCACTCCATTATTAGGGTGCTTACAAAGAGTAATGTTTATTCTCGGTTTATAATCGCCGTGAAGAATCTCCTCTCTGCTAGTTTATTCTCCATTTTAATCCCTGCCCGGAATCTCAGATCAGACGGCGAATTTCAATATGTAATGCGTTTTAAATTCCCTTATGAGTTTGGCAGTTATAAAATAAATGTTCCCCATTTCTAATTTACTTTGCAATTATATGATACATTTAAAGTCACCTTCTGTACACATCGTCAATAACTTAAGCGGTAATAGCGCTGTAGCTAGTTGCATGTGATTTTGAGGGACAGTTTCCAAAAATGGGTATATTTTAGTTAAAATTGGAAACCAATGATATTAATATATTTAGAATTTGGAGTCATTATAATCTGCAAAACCTACCCCAGTAATTTATGTTACCGAATAGATTTTAGTCCCCGTACATGTGAATGCACAGTTGTGTATCTCAGTTCTACGCACTTTATTAAACACTAAAAAGGAATGCTAGCTCGTGCGATTACTTTTGCCTGTTATTAGCTTAGTTATTATTACTTAGCTCATGTATTCGACATTTAAACGCTTCTGCAGCTCGCCGTTGAAAAGGCCAGCGAAAGCTGCCGAAGATAAAACCCCATAATTCAAATGGAAAGGGAAACAAGACGAGGCGAGCTAAGGCCCCGAATGCTAGCCGTGTACGTCTTATTATCAAGTTAATTAAAGCTAGCATCTGACAATGTCACTCGGCTGTAGAAAAACGGATTTAAATGCAATGTCTCCCAGGACTGCGTGTCAAGGGCTGCCTTTCATTGAGCCGCGTGTTTGGCTGGAGCTGTGCTCCGGACTGGAGGGGGGGCTTTTAAGACGCTTCTTTTATGAGCAAATGACAAGAAGGCAATTATCGGATTTTGATGTTCAAATAAATATAAATATATATTTAAAAACTATTTCCATAATTTAGTATAGAATGAGCAAATATGAGAAAATAAAGCTCCCACACACAAAGAAAGTCGCATCAAACGGCTACTCGTACCATTCAAGGCAGATTTCGTACAGGAAAAGGTTTTGTCAAGCCAGACAAGGATCCTGAAACATTAAAAAGAGTTGATTCAAATGTACACATTGAAATGCAGAAAGCTGGTTGCTATGTGGACTCGAGGTCAAGTGACAAACGGATTATATGCTTCTTCATAATAATATTAATTAAACAATTTGCATGCTAATAAGGTAACAATTATCAGGGCTTCAGTTGAAAGATTCAGGTTATTACAACACGCCAATCCGGGTGCCAGGGGTCAGAGAGTGAGAGGCGAGAGAAATTTCAACTCAAATTAACATTCTGTCAGCTCCAGAAATGGGATAAATAAAGTCGAATTAATTCTCAGTAATGGAAGCGAGAGAAAGCCTGTACTCATACAGAGTAGATTGATTACCATTCAGTATTCAGAAACACGTTTTTCCTACATTTCACTTCACAAACTTAACACAAAGTGAAGCGATATCGCTACAGGCAAAATCTGGTCCAGTAGACACAGTTTATATTAAGTACACATAAAGAGGGTAATTATGAATAAAAGTCTAGACTTTAGCGAATTAGAAGTAGATGCAAGAGTTATGTCAGATGGTACATTCACATGGAAGATACACGTTGTGTATATGTCTGTATAAAAATTGGCTGAGCTTTTTTCGGCATTTTAATGTGGCATCATTCTCCCATAAGTGTCAGTTTTAAATATAAAACGTTTATATTTCTGTACGCTAATGCATGAGTTAAGAAATTATACTTATGGAATCATGTTAATGGTTACTAGCTAATTTTAGGAGAAACACTGTCAAATACAGTTTTAACCCATTTGGTTTTGCACGGACACGCTGCCTTATTTGAGAATTACGTCGGAAGTGCTTTGATGCATTTATAATGAATACTTTATTTTGGCTCCTGTTCTAAAACACGTATACAAACTGATACATATTACATTTTACATCCGAGTGTGTACGCACGTGTGTATACGTCTCTGACAGTACGGAGCAATGGCCAATTAAGAGAGATCGTCTAATTAATAATTATAAGTCTTAAATATCCGCTGTTCAATGCACTGCAAAGGTGGATGTGGAAGTAAAGATCGCTTTTCTCATTGCCTCCAACATATCAGCTTCAAAAATTGCGTTGAATTCGGGAAGCAGAGAAGATACGAAGGGGGTTGTACTTTTAAATTCAATGTGACAGCTCGGGAAGGGTAGGTGATGAATTCCCTATTATTGGATCAGTCTTCTTGACGCCCAGTGTCTCTCTGTAATTGGAAAACATCACTTTAAAGGTTCAGCGCGTAAAGCATTTCTTCTGAAATATCTGCACAACATGCTGTTGACTGATTTGGGGGGAAATCTATTATTGTTTTTAGAACGAGTGAGATGTAAATCTGTGCTCTGTCTATTTTGTGTTTAACTGGATATCAATCACGTCGCTAGTTCTCAACAAAAAAAAAAAGAAAAGAAAACGTCTAGTTGTGATGTAGCTCTTATCAAAACCCCTCTGTCCTGTTGTGACAGCTCTGATATTGTTTATTGAGGTGGATGTCAGGTATAATTAGCAATCGATATGGAAAACGCTTTCAAACCGCGTCTCTTACGTCATAGCCGATTAACGTTTCTTATTGGTCCCAAATTCCCAAAGCCTGGGCTAATTATTGGAAGGTTGATGTTGATAAAGTAAAGCTCATCCTCCACTCCACAGCATGTCTCCTCCTCGCTGCCCACTCTTACTGCATGCTTTCTAAATTCCCACAACCAGCCTCCAGCCTTTGGCTTCTTTTGCCCGGGAGATGATGGACAGCAGGATACTAGAGCACCCTCATGCCCAGTTTGGAGGCTCTCTTAGTGGGATGGTGGGATTTCCCTACCATTTAAGCCACCATCATGTATACGAATTAGCCGGGCACCAACTCCAGTCTGCGGCTGCTGTTCCTTTCTCTATAGACGGATTACTGAATGGTTCATGCACTGCTTCCGTGGTCAATTCGAACCCTCTACTGTCTTCTGGTTGCGGCATGAATGGAGATAACCAGCAGTACAAACTCACAGGTAAGGGAGTAAAAACGGAACGTGTTTTTATTTTATTTCAACGAACGGGGATTCAGTTGTCGACTTACTTAAAATTACAAGGAAGCTTCATCGCTTATCTTTCGGAAAACGTGCTGCAGAACCGTTGCTAACATTTCAGAGGTAAAATGAAAGCATATTTTGTGTATTTTAATTTCCGTGTGTTTCGGTGTGATCGAATAACACTCTCCCGTATTGTAAGAATGCTGAATAAAACGTCAAGTAGCCTACACGACAAGAACAAAACGATAATTTAGAAATAAAACAATTCGTTAGCATGAATTGAAGCAAGAAATAAAACTGTAAACATGAAACATACCGAGGAGAACAAGATACATATTCATGAAAAAATATAGCTTATATTTTCTCCTTTAAATGGACGCGTACAGGCGACAGGAATATGTAAGGCTCTTTACGCTGTCTCATATTAATATTATTTACATTGGTCTGGTGTGATGGCTTGGCGAAAAATTTGTATAGTTCACTTTAAAAATTCCATAAAAAGGCAAATTAACCTGCAGTTTCTGTATCTCTATACCAAAAAGCAAATTTCGAACTTTGTCTATATAAATTTAGACGAGGAAATTCAAATAATTCTACGTAGCATTAATTTCTGTGCTGACGAACTCTTTCTCCTTCACTGTAGATTCAGGAGATCCAGACAAGGATAGCCCTGGTTGTAAGAGGAGGAGAACTCGCACAAATTTCACTGGATGGCAACTGGAAGAATTAGAAAAAGCTTTTAATGAGAGCCATTATCCAGACGTGTTCATGCGGGAAGCACTTGCGCTGAGATTGGACTTGGTAGAGTCTAGAGTTCAGGTAAATAATATTTGCTATCTACTAACTCACTTGTGTGGCCAAGAAGGTCTTAAATCAATATTATAATTTTGTTAGCTATTGAATGTGCTTTTTTTGTTTTTTGTTTTAAAAAATAAAGAAAATAGTTTTACTCTATTTCTACATCCTTAATATACATGTAAATGTATATGTGCAGAATATGTCCAAATAAAACAGTTTACTCTGACACCTGGCATGAACATAATTAGGTGTGCGTGATTTTGCTGCTATTAAAAATATTATATAGCAAAATAAGTGAACAGTAATATAAACAAATACTTACGTTCGTCGTAATATCTAATATAACCGATCTATAAAGCAAATGTTTACTGGTACGGGAGGTATTTAAGCATTTTGTTCCCGTTGTAATAGTCTTGGACATTTATTGTTTTTTTTACATAGTATTACGTGGGTTTTTTTGTGTGAACTTAATTAATACTAATAGTGAAATATGTTGCTACCGTTAGCATAATTAAGGATAGATTGTGTGATTATAAAATATTCCGGCCTTCTGGAAACTGGACAAAATGTACATGAGCGGCCGTAATGCCACGGTTGTTTCTTGAATGATACCTGCATTATTTCCGGGCAGATATTGTCAACAAAGGAGTATACAATTAATGCAAACAATTACAAAAATGTTTTTGTTTATTTGTTCAGAAATAGGCCTACATTCGATGATGTCAATTTTTTGCGTGTACAACAATGAGTAGTCATCATTAAGAAGGCCGTGTGGAGGTAGCACAAAGAGATGGAAGCGATGTTTAAAATAATCTTGTCCAGCTACACGTTTTAATAATTATAAGACAGCCGACATCTAGGCCTATATTTTATATTACGATATGCTATTATTTAAATATAATTTCCATACTCAAAGCAATCAAATTTTGGTTAATTGATATAATATTATGGATACTAAACAAATTAATGTTTACAGTAGTAGAACCGCGAGTACAAGTGCTCGAACGTATTATCAGTTCTAATTTAAATTTCTGTGAGCATTGCTGATTTGGTATATTGCCTTACGGATATATTCTTCCTTGGTTCATGGTTGTGTTTCAAATAAAAATAATGTGGCTACGTTGTGTGTACAAAATGTGCATCGTAACAATGTTATACAGCTCTTACGTTTGCACGGTAACTTTACACGTAATCGTGTTTAGCATAAAATAAGCACAGGCTTTTGCCAAAGGCCTTACAGTGGCGTTCGCTTGGCACCGAATCGTATGTGGTATACAGGCCTACTTGTTTACACAAGTTTAATGTGAGTCAAATACACCGTGGGAGAATTAGACTGAGTATAATAGGCAGAGTTACTTTTTGCATTGATTCAGTTCGAGTGACAATTATCGCTACCGTGTTTGTTCAGGTGGACAACATCAATTGGCAGGTGTCATATTTATCACCATAGCGTGTGTTAAGTCACGAGTTCTGATAATGCTGTTGCTTTTAGGTTACCCAAACAAAACAGAAAGATCAATATAGTTTAAAATCCTGGATGTCATAGACTAATTGTAGAATGTAGAGAGATTATTTACAGACACGACGTTCAAAATATATACGATTTTATTATATTTGTTTACAGGATTACTTTATGTCTAAAGTACGCACATTTCCCTCATGCATTTTTTTGGTTTTGATTTTTAAAATCTAATTCTGGCCGATGCCTCGGAATATATTCGAAACAGATTTTACTTTTGTGACCCAGTTCACTTGTGACTGTTTTCCTGTTACTAGCCTATGTGAAGAAGAATCACACCGGTTTATGAGGAGTCTTAACACAAAACTTAGCCATGCACCGACGGGTAGCATTCTGAATTTAATAAAAACAATTTTCATTCTTCGATGTGTAGGTGTGGTTCCAAAATCGCAGAGCTAAATGGAGGAAAAAAGAAAATACAAAGAAGGGACCGGGGAGACCGGCCCACAACTCCCACCCAACAACGTGCAGCGGAGAACCGATGGACCCCGAAGAAATCGCTCGGAGAGAACTTGAAAGAATGGAGAAGAAGAAGAGGAAGCAGGAGAGGAAGCTATTGAAGTCACAGAATAAAATTTTATCGGCAGACCTGTTCCATACACCGGGATCAGATAGTGACAGTGCCGTGTCACAAATAACGGACAGTGAGCAATCAACAAATATGATCAATCCAGACTCAGCAGGCCGAAACCAAACCGAATCAAGCTGTGACCAAACACGACAAAAATACCAGAGCCAAAGAAACACGACCCAAGACGCCGGCGGATCGGAGCAGGACTCCACCGACAGCAGCCCCAACTCCAGCTTGTATTCCAACGGCAGAGCTTCCGCCCTTCAAAAATTAAACCCTTTCAGTGTGGAGAGTCTTCTTTCGGACTCAACACCACGACGAAAACCCACTTTGGATTTCCCAGCTTTACCCTCCCCACGCCC